CCAAAGATGGCTACATCCTAATCCCTGGAACATGTGAATATGTTAGGTTACATGGCAGAGGGGAATTAAGGTTGCAGATGGAATTAAGGTTGCTAATCAGCTGACCTTAAAATAAGAAGACTAGCCTGGATTATCCAGGTGAACCCAGTATATTCACAACAGTCCTTAAAAGTGGAAGAAGGAATCAGAGAACAGAACCAGAGATACAGCAGTATGAGAAAGACCCAATTGAGCTAAACTTTCTGCCCAACATTACTGGCTTTGAAGATGGAGGAAGAAGGCCAAGAGCCAAGGAATGTAGGTCACTTCAAGAAGCTGGAAAGGGCAAGGAACTGGATTCTCTCCTAGAGTTTCTGGAAAGGAGTGCAGCGTTGCTAACTAACATCTTGGTTTTACCCGCTTTGGACTTGTGAACTGCAGAACTGTAACATAATAAATTTACGTTGCTTTAAGCCACTACATTTGTGGCTGTAGCAGCCATAAAAAACTAATACACCATCTAAGTTGCCTCAGTATAATAATATTGATAACCATTAATATTTAGTGCCTGGCACTGTGGCTAAACATTTTATAAGCATAGTCTGAATTGGCCTGTATAATCAATCTTTGAGGTAAGTACTGTTATTTATCCCCATTTTACAGACAGAGATACAGAAGTTACCAAGTAATTTACACAAGGACATAGAGCTAGTAAGAGACAGACTCAGGACTCAGAACCCAGATCTCCAGGACACCACAGCGCATGCTAATAACCACCACCTCTGACCACGCATTCGTTGCTCAGCTGCCAGTGTTCTGGGCCTCTGTTGCTTGACTGGTTTAAGGGTTCGGCTGCTAACCAAAAGGTTGATTGTTTGAACCCACCAGCCACTCTGTGGGAGCAAGATGTGGCAGTCTGCTTCCATAAAGATTACAGCCTTGGAAATCCTTTGGGGCAGTTTTACTCTTTCCTGTAGGGTCACTATGAGTCAGAATCGACTTGATGGCAACGGGTTTTTTTTTGGTTTATGTTTGTCCGTTAAATGCAGGCTGTTCACTTGGCTCCAGCCCTTGCCAATGTCTTTACTGTCCACTTCCAGGCCTTCTGTGTCCGCATACCATCCATCCCCTCCTCTTTGTACCCTTCCCCCCATCATACTCTTCCAGCCATGCCTCAGATCCTTTGGCTTTAGGGTCTTTCCTTAAGGTCTGCATCTACCTGTGGTCCTGGCTGTCCTGGGTGACCAGAGGGATTGAAGAGCTGCTAGAATTTCCCTTTTGGTGTTCATGTGTTGTTGTCATGTGCTGTTGAGTCAATTTCGACTCATACCGACTCCATGTGACAGAGTAGAACTGCCCCATATGTTTTCTAGGCTGTAATCTTTATGGAAGCAGATTGCCAGGTCTGTCTCCCACAGAGCTGCTGGGTGAGTTCAAAACTCTGACGTATTGGTTAGCAGCCTAGTGCTTTACTGTTGTACCACCAGGGTTCCTTTACTGACTCCAGTAATAAACAGTGTGACAGGCCTCAGGAAAGGGCAGGCAATGGGCATGGGACCTCCAAGTCTGATCATGATTCCTGACTGCAGTGGCAGAATCCTTGCCAAGGAGAGAAGAAGCCTGCGGGATCTGTCCAGTCAGCACTTGGTGATCAGGAGCCATGGTGAGGAAAATGCCAGGCATGCCTTGTTCGTGAATCAGACTTCCACAAATAATTCTATTATAAAGAGTTGGCATCTGTTGTCTTAGCATCCCCCATGTTGTTGTTGCCAGGTGCCATCGAGTTAGTTCCGACTCATAGCGACCCTATGTAAAACAGAATGAAACACTGCCCAGTCCCTCTCCATCCTCAAAATTATTGCTATGTTTGAGCCCACTGTTGCAGCCACCGTGTCAGTCCATCTCGTTGAGGGTTTTCCTCTTTTTCACTGACTCTCTACTTTACCAAGCATAATGTCCTTCTCCAGGGACTGGTCCCTCCTGATAACATGTCCAAAGTACTTGAGACCAAGTCTTACCATCCTCGCTTCCAAGAAGCATTCTGGCTGTACTGCTTCCAAGCGAGATTTTTTCATTCTTCTGGCAGTCAGTGGTATATTCAATATTCTTCACCAACACTGTAATTCAAATGCATCTTCTTTGGTCTTCCTTATTCACTGTCCAGCTTTCACATGCATATGAGGTGACTGAAAATACCATGGCTTGTATCAGGCTCTCCTTAGTCCTTAAAGTGACATCTTTGCTTAACACTTTAAAGAGGTCTTTTGCAGCAGGCTTGTCCAATGGAATACGTCGTTTGATCTCTTGACTGCTTCTTCCATGAGCATTGATTGTGGATCCAAGTAAAATGAAATCTTTGACAACTTCCCAATATTTTCTTCATTTATCATGATGTTAGCGTATTCGTCCAGTTGTAAGCATTTTTATTTTCTTTATGTGGAGGTGTAATCTATACTGAAGGCTGTAGTCTTCGATCTTCATCAGTAACTGCTTCAAGACCTCTTCACTTTCAGCAAGCAAGGGCGTATCATCTGCATATCACAGGTTGTGAATGAGTCTTCCTCCAATCCTGATGCTGTGTTCTTCTTCATATAGTCTGGCTTCTTGGATTATTTGCTCAGCATACAGATTGATTAGACATGATGAAAGGTTATAACCATGAAACATGTCTTTCTTGTTTTTAAACCACACAGTATCCACTGGTTGTGTTCAAACAACTGTCTCTTGGTCTATGTACAGGTTCCTTATGAGCACAGTTAAGTGTTCTGGAATTCCCATTCTTTGCAATGTTATTCATTATTTGTTATGATCCACACAGTGGAATGCCTTTGTGTAGTCAATAAAATACAGGTAAATATCTTTTTGATATTCTGTGTTTCAGCCAAGACCCATCTGACATCACCAGTGATATCCCTCATTCCATGTCCTCTTCTGAATCTGGCTTGAATTTCTGGCAGTTCCCTGTCTATGTACAGCTGCAGCCACTTTTGAATTAACTTCAACAAAATTTTTCTTGTGTGTGATATTAATGATATAGTTCGATAATTTCCATATTCTGTTGGATCACCTTTCTTTGGAATGAGCGTAAATATGGTTCTTTTCTAGTTGGTTGGCCAGGTAGCTGTCTTCCAAATTTCTTGGCATAGATGAGTGAGCACTTCCAGCATTGCAGCCGTTTGCTGAAACATCTCAACTTATATTCAGTCAACTCCTGGAGCCTTGTTTCTCGCCAGTGCCTTCAGTGCAGCTTGGACTTCTTCCTTCAGTGCCATTAGTTCTTGATCCTACGCTACCTCCTGAAATGATTGAATGTCAACCAATTCTTTTTGGTACAGTGACTCCATGTATTCCTTCCATCTTCTTTTGATGCTTCCTGTGTCGTTCAATATGTAACCCATAGAGTCCTTCAGTACTGCAACTTGAGGCTTCAATTTTTTCTTGAGTTCTTTCAGCTTGAGAAATGCCAAGCATGTTCTTCCCTTTTGGTTTTCTAACTCCAAGTCTTTGTACATTTTATTATAATACTTGACTTTGTCTTCTCGAGCTACCCTTCAAAATCTTTTGTTCAGCTCTTTTACTTCATCATTTCTTCCATTCACTTTAGCTACTCTACTTTCAAGAGCAAGTTTCAGCATCTCTTCTGACATCTATTTTGGTCTTTTCTTTCTTTTCTGTCTTTTTAGTGACCTTTTACTTTCTTCATGTTTGATGTCCTTAATGTTATCCCACAACTTGTCTGGTATTCCGTCATTAGTGCTCAGTGCATCATATCTATTCTTGAAATGGTCTCTAAATTCAGGTGGGATATACTCAAGGTCGTACTTTGGCTCTTGTGGACTTGTTTCAATTTTCTTCAACTTCAACGTGAACTTGCATGTGAGCAATTGATGGTCTGTTCTGCAGTCGGCCCCTCTCCTTTTTCTGACCGATAATATCGAGCTTCTCCATCGTCTCTTTCCACAGATGTATTCGATTTGATACCTGTGTATTCCATCCGGCAAGATCCATGAGTATAGTCACTGTTTATGTTATCTATATATACCTGTACATTAATATAATTAGCAGCTACTTTTTAAGTGGAAAATCAGCAAACCTAAGGTATGGCAATGCTGTTTGTGGCAAATTGCTGTAATTGGTATATTAAAGTAAAAATTGGAACTTATGCATTTTGATCTTAGTGCCCAAGCTTCTAGTCACCCTGCTAATCACTCTCAGGGAGGCTCAAGAAGGCTAAATAATTCTACTAAGGTATTGTTTATCAATGCTGATATTTAGCAGAACCTAGTTGTATACTTCCAAAACCATGCTCTTAATTACCAGCTAAAGTGTTACTATAAAGTAAAAAGATCTGTTTTTCACAGGCCGCTCATTTAACAATACCTTGATCATCAGACCCACATATGCATGCTCTTGAAGTGTCGTGGGAAGATGTTTGCCTTGATAATATAGGTGCACAGGAAAGAGGGTCAGCATAGGTCATCCCTGCAGTTATACTTTAGTTTTGCGGTTGCATTTCCTCCTCTCCTTTTCTCATTCTTTTTTTTAACTTTTCGCTTTGAGCTACTTTTAGACTTAGACAAAGTTGCAAAAATACTGCAGTTCCTGTATACCTTTTACCCAGGCTCTTCTAATGTTAATGTCTTATATAACTATAGTACAACTATCAAAGTAAGGAAATGAACATTAGTGTAATACTACAAACTAAACTACAGACATTTTCGAAGAGCACTGATCAGTTATTTTGTAGAATGTCCCTCAATTTGACTTTATCTGATATTTTCTATGATTGGACTGAGGTTATGAGGGCCTGTGAGTTGTGGATGTTGCTCTCCTTTATGCCTCACACTTTCTGTGTATTCTTACTGAGTGGATGGATGGATGGATGGATGGATGGACTGACAGATGCTTGAATCTCTTTCAAGAAAGTTGCCAAACCTTGTCTATCTATCTGTAAAAACTCCTTAACAAGTTGCCTGTGTGAAAGAACAACATATCAATTCTTAGTCTCCATTTCCTTCTAGATGTAGAAATGCTTCAGGCCAGTACATCTAACCCAATCTCAGGAGACAGTTTCTCTCGGACCACTAAGGACTCTATGATCCGCAAGTTTTTAGAAGGTAAGTTTTAGGTGTGAGCAAGAAAGCAAAAAGAGGTAAAGAGAGATGAATGTAAGACATTGCCTGGTTCGATATGAGGGTTGATCCACTCAAGCAGTGGGCTGTCACATAACTGACATATGGTGTGATTGAAGGCACTCTGCCTCCACGTGCCCTTCTCATCAGCCTGTTATAGGTGGGCCGGAAGTCCCACCACTGAAGCCACTCTTTTGGGTTAACGAGTTGCCTCTAGTAGGACCCCATTAAAATCCTTGTGTTTATTTTATTTTTAAAAATTTTATTGTGGTAAAACATATATAACAAAAAATTTGCCATTTTAAGCATTTTTAAGTGTATGATTCAGTGACATTAATGACTGTCACCATGTTGTGCTACCGTCACCTTTATCTGTTTCTAAAAGTTTTTCATCACCGGGAACAGAAACTCAATACCGCTTCAGCAACAACTCCTCATTCCCCCTCCCTGCTACCCCTGGTAACCACCTAGTGGTTAAGAACACAAACTCTGGGCTGTTCTCAGTTCTCCCTTTTGTTAGCTGGGAAACCCTGGGCAAGTTACTCAGTTCCTCCAGGCCTCAGTTTTCTGAGCTGTAAAGTGAGATTAATATTGTGAGGATTAAATGAATTATTATACATTAAGCCTTAGAGCAGGCCCAGGCACATAAATAAAAAATTAATAAGGGTATTATTATTAAAGATTTCAAAGATGGTGGGTGTTAAATTGGACAAGTAGTTCCTTAACCTTCTTCACCCATTTGCAATTTATGATGGGGTCTGTTAATCAGGTAGGTATAGGGACCTGGGTACTAAGAGGATGGGACTCAGGGTGGGAGAAGTAATTTTGATACTGAAGGGGAAGGAAAAGGTCTAGAAAAGTAGTAGGCAAACTACAGCCTGGCCAGCCACCTGTTTTTGTCAATAAAGTTTTATTTGAACCCAGTCACACCCATTTGTTTTCTTGTGATTTACGGCTTCTTTCATACTACAGGGGCAGAGTTGAGTAGTTTTGGCAGAGACTGTATGGCCTGCAAAGCCTGAGGTACTTATTATCTAGACTTTAAAAAAAAAAAAAGTTTGCGGAGTCCTACTCTAAAAACATAAAGTGTTTCCCTGAGGGGGAAATCCTGAGTAGCCACAGGTCAGTCACTTGGTAAGTCCCTGGTACAGCACCAAGAGGGCACAGACCAGCCCTGAAGATGGACTTTGCTTTGGTAACCTTGTTATTTGGCCTTAGGTTTTCTTTGTTATATTTAGCAATATCCAGAAAAACCCGTTGCTGTCGAGTCAATTCTGACTCATAGCGACTCTATAAGACTCAGTAGAACTGTCCCATAGGCTTTCCAAGGAGCGGCTGGCAGATTCGAACTGCCGACCTGTTGGTCAGCAGCCGAACACTTAACCACTGCACCACCAGGGCTCCATTTACCAGGCATATTTTAAGTCCTTTATAAATAATCCCCACTTAATCCTCTTTGCAACCCTGTGAGGCAGGTACATTATTTCATTTTGCAGATGAGTAAACTGAGGTATGGAGAGGTAAAGTGATTTGCCCAAAGTCCGATAGCCAGTAAGCAGTGTCCATGCTTTACCCACTGGGCTGTACTGTTGCCTTCTCCAAAGGAAGTTCAGCTCTGTCCCTACCCTCTTCCTGAAGGCACCATGCGGCAGCCGTGTATCATCTCTGGTCTCATCACTTACCAGCATTCCTTTATCAGGCTGTTAGTTCATGCCAGGCACTCGTGTCTGAAGATGATAATAACTTTGGGCAAGTTATTTTAACCCTCAAGACCCCAGTTTCTTCATCTTCAGTGACGAATGATGATTGTACTTACTCCACAGCGTTGTTATAAGATCAACGTAGATAATGTGGGTAATATGATTGGAATAGTGCTTGACACAGAGGAAGTCCTCCGGAACTAATTGCTGTTGTCATTTTAGCGATGCGGAAGAAGATGCTGGAAGTGTTGGTGGTGGGGACTCCAGGACACCCTCACACTGCTACCCAGGCACCAGGGGGTAGTCCTAAGCGTCCTTGGGCCTTTTGGGCTATGCTGTCTTTATCCCTAGTTCTAATGATATGAATAACTGAATCCCAGCAGAAAAACCAAGATTACAGAGCCTAGTGCTCACTTTCCTTTGCTGCAAGGATGGATGGCATGCAAAAGTGATATCAGTGTTTTCTCAGTTGCCTCATGGGGCTCTGATCAGATTATTCAGGAGGTGATGGAGGGGAAAGCGTTTTGCTGAAGGGAATTTATATACAGATAAAGGTATGGTCACTCCGTCTGCTCTTAGGACTGATCAGTAGCTACCCAGTTCTTTTGACCACTGCTTTTGTTCACCTTCCTCCCTATCTCCTAGGCAACAGTGTGGGAATGGCCAATTCAGAGAGGAAGCTGCACCGTCTTAGTCGGGAGGAAGACGTTTATCACATAGTGGATGATGATGACACCTTGTCTGTGGACATGGCCAGCAGGCCCCCCGTTCCAGTGCCCAGGCCAGAGGCCAGTCCTCCTGGTGCTCACCAGCTGCCCGACAACGAGCCATACATTTCTAAAGGCAAGTATGGCAGGGGATGATGCCCAGTGTGGTCTTCAGAGCTTCTCAGCAGGAATTCCCTGCATCACTTAGTTTTATGAGCCATTGCTCAGAGACTGAATGGTCCTGTATGGTCTCTGATCAGCCCCAGAAGACGCTGGTCATGGGTCAGGGTAGGTTCTGGAGCTAGGCTTTCCAGAGGCATTCACACACAGTTGCAAAGGCAGCAGTAAACAAGATTTCTCCCTACCCTCAATGGCAGAGTCAGAATTTGAACCCGGGGAGTCTCATTCAGAGCCCAGAGAGTCTTAATCACCATGTCATCCCACCACTAAGTGAACATTTGTCACTCATGAGTGACTGCATCTAAGTCCCTTTGGAGCTGTGCATACATTTTACCTGTTCCACTGCTCAGTGTTATGTCTTATAACACTTATTGACATGTTAAGTAGCTCTTCCTTTTATTCTCAAGCTTCATGGTATTCCCTGGCTAGGTTCAGGTGTTCATGGATTCTTGGCACGTGTCCTAGTTCACGTTACCCTTTTCTTTAATGACCTCGTAAACACCGATCGTGTCCTTTACTGGCCTTGACTATCTAGGTTTGAGAGCTCTCTGTTGGATTTCTCTTCATTTGACAATTCCTCCTCCTTCTACTCATTACTTACCTCTTTCGAGAGTTTTAATTTACAGAACTGCACACAGTGGTCCTAAGTATGGATTTACTATTATCTTTTGCACAAAATTTTGATTTTATTTTTCTTTTAAATGTACAAAATATATAAAGCCCTTTTAGAAAGAGGTCAGCCTTGGCTTTTACTCAGAATATTCTTTATCCATAGTTTTTGCAGAAAAAAGTCAAGAGCGGCCTGGGAATATCTATGTTTCCTCAGAGAGCATCAGGAAAGGTAAGCCAGATGTTGTCCCCAGCTTCCTTTTGCATAACCCCACTTCTGGGTGGTAAAGTGTTCGTGTGTCAGTGATTTCCAAGTGTAACAATAGCTCCTTGGCATTGAAGAACACATCCCACAGATGCTTATGATAGAACTGTCTGAGAATCCTGAATCTACATTTATCCTGATAGTAAAAGGAGAGAGGAAGAGATTGGGGTACCCTAGAACATATCCGTGGGTGGTGCAAATGGTTAACACGCTTGGCTGCTAACCGAAAGGTTAAAGATTCGGCACCTCGGAAGAAAGGCCTGGTGATCTACTTCTGAAAAATCAGCCATCGAAAACCCTGTGGAACACAGTTGTACTCTGACACATATGGGGTTGCCATGAGTTGGAGTAGACTTGATGACAAATGCTTCTATGGGGACAGTGGCTGTTCAGTGGTAGAATTCTCACTTCCTATGCGGGAAACCAGGGTTTGATTCTCAGCCAATGAACCTCATGTACAGCCACCACCCGTCTGTCAGTGGTGAGTTTTCAGCAGTGCTTCCAGACTAAGATGGACTAGGAAGAAAGGCCTGGTAATCTGTTTCTGAAAATCAGCCAATAAAAACCCTCTGGATCATGATGGTCCATATGCAACTGATCATGGAGATGGTGCAGGACCGAGCAGTGTTTCATTCCATTGTTCATGGGGTTGCCATGATTTGGAGGCCAACTGGATGGCCGATAACAACAATAACAACAACAGAGTATTGTACAAATTGATCATACAAAGAACGTTTACACACTAGAAAGTGTCCATACAGCGCACAAAGTACAATCTAAACACTGAGATTGATGCCCACAGGATGAAAGTGGGTGGCCCAGCACCCAGTCTTTACCTAACGATACAGCCCTACCTGCTGTTTACTTACTCTAGCTAGACTAGCTAAACTATGCTTTAACTCAGCTTTTATTTAAGAAACATTTTGCTTGCCATTGGGGAATACTGTGGACGTCCCATTTTTCTCTTTTTTTTAAAAGGCTTTTTAAGGAAGTTTGAGGCAATAATTGCTCTTTTGTTTTCTTGATTAATTTCCTTGTGCTAAACAAAGGCATTCAGTATTATCCCATTGAGGATTCTTTTGAAAAGTAGCCATGACATCATCTAAACATTGGAAGGCATCCCCAAGGACTTTGGTAGTGGGAGATTGGAACTGGTTGGCTTGTGCATTTTGTTCCCTCCCCGTCAATCTCCCAACACCATTAAAGACTGCCTTGAAAAGGGCAAACTTGCGAGAAGGGTATGTGTGTGTAGACAGATGAGTAAATGGCTGGACAGAATGATAGATAAACTTCTTTGAGGCTGTTTCAATATGCACTGGTGAAGCCATCTCTCTTTTTCCTTCCTGCTGTCTCCCTGAATACAATGCCCAAATGGGGTCCTGCTGGCAAAACTTAGAATCAAAGATAGCCCTGCATGAATTGAGCAGTAAAATGCCAAGTTGCTCTTACATGTCCCAGTGGCCATATCACCTCTGCATGTAGCCCATTCCCCATGGAGCTTAGTGAAGCAGAGTCTCAGCCTGGAGAGAGGGGGTTTGTCCTCACATTTGCCTGGAATCTCCAGAGCAGAGAACTATGAATTTGTAATGTAGAAGAGGGGGGTTGGCACTGGAACAACCCAAGGAGAGTCAGTTGAGACTCAGCACCTAGTGTATACCTGATGATAGTGGCCCTGAGTCATGATTCAATTGACATTCCAGTCTCTGCTGGCATGTTATGCCCATCAGTCCACAGTTATTGCACCCTGTGCTGCCCAAAGGCAGTGAGGACAGTGAGAGCTGGGAGAAGAATCCTGGCTAGGTTCTTCCATTCTGTATAGACTCTAATGGGAGTGGATTTTAGTCTAAAGCAGTGGTTTTCAGCTGAGAGTGATTTGGCTCCTCAGGGGACATTTGGCAATGTCTGGAGACATAGCTGGGGAGAGGGCTGCTACTGGCATCAACTGGGTAGACGCCAGGGATGCTGCTAAACATCCTGCAATGCGTAGGACAGACCCTACAGCAAACAATTATCCAACCCAAAATGTCAATAGCACCAAGACTGAGAAATGCTGGTCTAAAGGCTTCTCAATAATTAGAGCTTGAGGGATTCTATAGACTCATCTGGTGGATTTTATACCTCCCTAAAATGTTGTGGCCTCACCTACTTTAGTGTGATGTTGTTGTTGTTGTTGGGTGCCGTCGAGTTGATTCTGACCCATGTGGCAGAGTAGAACTGCCCATAGGCTTTTCTTGGCTGTAACCTTTATGGAAAGGAGCCGTTGTGGTGCATGGTTAAGTGCGCCACAGCTAAATGAAGGGCTGGCTGTTTCAAACCTACCCAGCAGCTCCAGCCTGTCGATATGCTCTTGTAAAGATGACAGTCTAGAAAACCCTATGAGGAGGTTCTACTCTGTCACATTGGGTTGCTATGAGTCAAAAATTGACTTGACAGCACCTAACAACAACAACAACAGTCTTTATGGAAGCAGACCTCCAGGTCTTTCTCCCGTGAAGCCACTGAGTGGGTTCAAACCACCAACCTTTTGGTTAACAGCTGAGTGCTTAACCGCTTGTGCCACCAGGGCTCCTTCCTTTAGTGTGATAAACCCATTGCCCTTGAGTCAATCTCAACTCATAGCAGCCCTGTAGGACAGAGCAGAACTGTCCCATAGGGTTTTGAAGGCTATAAATCTTTACAGGAGCAGACTGCCACATCTTTCTCCCTTGGAGCGGCTGGTGGGTTTGAACTGCTGGCCTTTTGGTTAGCAGCCAAGTACTTAACCACTGTGCCACCAGGGCTGCTTTTAGTGTGATAGGCTGTGAAATTGTTAACTGTTCCCCTCTCCCCTGATTCCATGTCATATGTCCCACTTCTGGGTTCCTCTTGTAATTGTTCTTTTGAGACATATCCTCTTGAACCTGGGACCAGCCTCGTTAACCCTCCTCCCCATGAGCTCCGCCTAGTGGGGAAGGTGTCAAGCTGGGTCTTGCCATTTTTTCCAGAGCCACCTGTCAGACCGTGGAGGGACAGGCCCCAGTCGAGTGTATATGACCCTTTCGCTGGGATGAAAACGCCAGGCCAGCGACAACTTATTACCCTCCAGGAGCAGGTGAAGCTGGGCATTGTCAACGTGGAGGAGGCTGTGCTCCACTTCAAAGAGTGGCAGCTCAACCAGAAGAAGCGCTCCGAGTCCTTTCGTTTCCAGCAGGTAACTAGCTCCGCATGGAATTTGTTTCACGTCTGTTTCTCCGCTGGACTGTCAGCCCCTCGAGGGCTGAGCCCAAGACTATCTTGTTTATTGCTGGAGCACTTGTGGCTATGCCTACGAAAATTTGTGTGTCATTGTGAGTCTGTGTGTGTGCGTGTGCGTGTGCGTGTGCGTGTGCGTGTGTGTGTGTGTGTGTGTGTGTGTGTGTGTGACCGGCAGTCTGTAACCACGTAGCTCCCTGGTTAAGAGCTGGATAGATTTTCTGATTGCTATGAAGCTAGAGATCAGGAACAAAGACTCAACTGTAAACTCGGCCTCTCCTGCTGCGTCCCTGCATCTGGCCTTGTACATTTGCTTTCCAGCTTTTCTCTTTTCAGAGTCCCTCTCTGTACTCCCAGGGCAAATCTCCCACCGAAAATTCACACTTTAAAACTCAATAAGAACTTGAAATGCGCTGAAGAAGTATTAAGTAGACAAAACAATTTGCAGATATGAAAGCACCCAAATTAAAACACACCCGCTCACGCATACAAACTGTTTATTTCTAAAGGGCATCCCACACCCATCCTAGCTGTTACTTCTTGGGAGAGACTGGGATTCGAGTGCTGGGTATCAGAGGAGCCTCTTGCTTTATCTGTATATTTAAAGTTGTTTTTATGAGAATGTATTCGTGTACTCTGTCTGTAATTAAAAACAACCAAAAGAACTCAGAGGAGCCTGAGAAAGTACATCCCTAGTCCAACTCCTTCATATTCAAACAGAAGAACTTGGGCTCGGAGAGTTATGGGACATGTCCAAAGTCACTTAACCAGTAAGTGGCAGTCAGGTCTGGGACTCTTCCTAGGACCTCCCCAGTGATGCTTCCCCAAGAGTGTGTATTCTAATCTCTATTCTCCCAGGACCTGACCACCCAGCTGTTGTGGGGGTGGGGGGAAAGACAGTGCTCACCAGTGCTGAGGTAGAAGCCATGTCTTCTTGGAGTGGATTAAGCAGTGAGAGCGGGGAAGCATATCATAGAGCAATATTTGTTGAGCTCTGACAGTAGTATGTTGGGCACTGCACTGAGTGTTGAATAGATTTCTTTTCTTTTGCTCCTTAGAGCATGCATGTGAAATAAGTGTTACACTCTCATTTTGCCGAAAACTAAGACTCAGAGAGGTGAAGAGGCAGAGTCAGGATTCAAACCAGCCCTTTCTCACTCCACAGCCCTTCTGCCTTCTTGGTGCTCCATAACACAGGGGTCATCTGCCCTGCCAGCCTGCACCCTCTCTCTCAGGGTCTGGAGGGTAGAAGGCACTTTGGAGTGTTGAATGCAGGAATCCAGGACCCTTCATACTTTGGAGACCCTGGAGGCAGAAATTCTGCTGAGTAAAGGCTGGCCCTGGCTAAACAGACTTTTTTCCTCCTTGCTGAGTCATGTGACCATGTGGCAAAGTAGTTAAGAGCAGTCTAGGGCTCTGGAGCCAGGCTGCCTGAGTTTAAATCCTGTTTTGTCATTTGCTGGCTGCATGACCTTGACCTCTCTATGTCTCCATTTTCTCATCTTTGAAATGGAAAGAGACAGGACTAGACAATGTAAACCATATAAAGCCCTTAGCATGCCTGGCAGGTAGCACATAATAAATGTTAACTATAGAGTTGTAGGAGCCCTGGTGGCACAGTGGTTAAGAGCTCTGCTGCTAACCAAAAGGTCAGCAGTTTGAATCCACCAGCTGCTCCTTGGAAACCCTGTGGGGCAGCTCTACTCTGTCCTATAGGGTCGCTATGAATCGGAACCGACTCAATGGCAATGGTTTTTTTGGTTTTTATAGGGTTGTAGTTGTCTTTCTAGATCTGTATCCAAGAGGCTTCTTCCTTCTCTGTGCCCGGAACTCTTGAGTGTAACAGATAACTAGGGTTCATATTCAGCATGGCACAGCCCCTGAGAGTTGGCTGGCACTGTTTTGTGCCCTGACAGCCTCCTGGCACTTGCTGAGCATCCCCCATCCAGGGGCTAGTGGGTGTGGGGACTTTCCTGGGGCTGCCTCTCTGTCCACTCCTCTGTCTCCTCCACTCTCCCTCCTGCAAGTGGGCACTGCCCAGGTTCCCTTCAGCTCCTTCTCTCTACAGATAACTGTGGAGTCTTTATCTCTATCCCATCTCTCCAGCCACCAGCTGCCCCCCCAGGTGCCCTTGACCCTGCAGCAAGTCTGACAACAAACCATCACTCAAGGCTACTTCCCTTTCTAACTCCCTATCTCTGTTCACTGCAGTTACCTTCCAGAGACTGAGGCTCTGACTTCAGAATCACTTTGACTCCCCACCTGCCTCAATGTCCAACTAGGTGCATGTCTTGCTCCGTGGCATTCTTCGTCTTGCATCTACTCCTTTCTTTCCATTCCCCCAGCCACATCCCAGTGTCAGACTCCATCATTTACGTCTCAGTTACTTACTACGTAGTCTCCAGGTGTGTTCCTTGCCTGTAAGTCTGTCCCCCTCCAATTCACCATAGCCTTGAAGCTATGATCAGTTTACAACTTTGAGTGTTTCCTGTCTGTGACCTGGACAAAGCTCGGTTCCTCGGCCGGGCAGTTGCAAACTAACAAACCTTTGCAGTCTGCCCTTCGGTGACTCCCTGACGTGAACCTTCTGCTCCAGCCAGGTTACCTGAACGTTATTCCCTGGGGCATTGTCCCTAGAATGCTCAGACACTTTACCTGGAGGTTGTCGTTGCTTAGTAATTAAAAGAGCAACAGATCTGAACATTTACTGAACGACTACAATGGTCTGGACTACGGGATCACACAAAGGTACAAGACATGGTGTCTTGCCCTTGGAGAGCTTATGGTATCTCTGAAGAGATACCGCACACACACACACACACACACACACACACACACACACACACCCATACACACACACACAGACACACAGACCAGCAAGGCAGCATCACCCAAGGGCCAGATGGTTGGCACAGATATTCTCTAAGGACTGGTCAGGGGGAGGCTTCAGGGAGAACGTGGGCATTAACACAGACCTGGAACAGACTACTGGAGAGGACCCCGTGTCCTTCAAGGTCAGGGGGATGAGATTGTGAGAGCACAGTCTCAGAGGCAGGAATGTATGTGGCATGCTTGTGAGCAAATAAGAGACCAGTTTGGCTGAGGGTCAACATGGAGGAGGGCAGTGAGTTATAAGGCTGGGGATGGGGCTGGGAGCCAGAGGAGGAGGGAGGCACTTTATTATGCAAAAGGTGTCTTCTCTTCAGACACAAATTCTAAGATACTTGGATTTCTCGGAGGGATAACTGAAAATGCATAGAGCCTCATGTGCATGTTGAAAATGTGATTGCAATGTGATATGCCTTGCAAACAGCATAATATCAGAAAGAAATTCGAGTGTCCTTAGGGTATTATTCTGGTGTACATTTTTAAAATGAACTAAATTTTTTTCCAGGAAAATCTTAAACGGCTAAGAGATAGCATCACCCGGAGACAGAGAGAGAAGCAGAAATCAGGAAAGCAGACAGGTATGAGGCTTCAGCTGGGAGAAGGCTGGGTGAGGGGCTGCATTATGTGCAGCTTTGCTGCAACCTGTTGCCCTTGACTGTCCTTTCTGCTGTGGCCTGAATGGGCAGCCCGCTTGCCCAGCACCTGTCACCCTGTTTGCAGTCTATATCCCCCACTAGACTGTGAGGTCCTTTCAAGCAGAGATTTTGTCTTGTTTATTCTGAATATCAAGTAACTGGCACACAAGGCATGCCCAGTAAATGAATGAATGAATGGATTGAACTCTGCCATATTCCAGCTTCCCACTCAAAGAGGATGATAACGCTTTCTCCCCAGATGCCTGACTCTCCCCTTGGCATTTAGGAAGACATATGTTTTTGAGCAGAGAAAGGAGAAAACTTTGTTTACACAGTGTCTGGATCTAATTCAAGTGGGGAATCACATCATAGGTGTTGACACCTCACACTGCTTCAGAAACCCAGGACCCTATGTAGCAGGGCTCCTGCCATGTACAGTGGGGGTGTGCTAGCAGGGGCATGATTTCCAGTTGTGCACTGGGGACTGGGCCCCTCTGTTCCCCTTGGCCCGCCCTCCCCCAGGTACCACCCATGTGGCACCACCACCCTTGAGCATAAGGGGTCGGCGTTTGCCCACACTGCATCTTCCCACTGAGACCCTCTGGCATGGTGGGGCTCTATACTTTCCCAGGGAGCCATGTAGTCAAGAAAAGGATTTCCCCACTGCGTAAAGAACTCAGTTGATATCTAGCCCTGCCTATGCATAGTTTCCATGGTCTCCAACTGCCATTCTTATTCAGACTTTCCATGAACCTACTCAGGCTGGTAACACGGTAACACCCTGGTCCCCAAACTGGACATTTTCCTGCTGCAGGATCCTTGCGCATGCCCCTTCCTTCCTACCTATATGAAAACTTCTGGGCTGCAAGAGCCAGCTATGGCAGCCCCTTCTCTGTGAAGCCTTCTTGGACCACTCCAGGCCATTGTATTTGTCTTAGTCAGGGTTCTCTAAAGAAATAGATCTAGTAAGATACACACACCAACACACAAATACACATACATTCGGAGAGAGAGAGAGAGAGATTGATTTTAAATTGGTTCATACAATTGTGGGGGCTGACAAGCCCAGAATCTGTAGGTCAGGCAATAGGCTGGAGATTCCATCAGTCTTGTGTCCCAAAATTGGTAGGTCTGTTGCTGGATGGAAACCCCAGCTTCTGCTCAGAGCAACTCATCCCAGCCAATAAACAAGAGACCAAGGTGGGAGAGTGGAAAACCAAAACCAAACCTGGTGCCATGGAGTCAATTCCAACTGATAGCGACCCAGTAAGGACAGAGTAGAACTGCCCCATTTCCAAGGAATGGCTGGTAGATTTGAACTGCCAACCTTTTTGGTTGGCAGCTGCACTCTTAACTACTGTGCCACTGGGGCTCCGGGAGAGTGGAAAGCGCCTTTATTTCATTGCTCAAGGAAGAGTAACAGTTGGGCCTGCTGCCACCAAGACTGCTCAGTGAAGGTGAGGGGGAAGGTTACTTTTAAGGGGTTTACAAGTAGGAAGTTCATACAAGTTACATCAGCAACATTCTTCATCATACTATGCAGGTGCAGTGGGGTTTACATACAACTTTATGCATCGTGTGTTCAGAAAATGGCAGTTAAACTCCACCCAGAGGCAGGGAAGTTACTATGTATGAGGTCTAAAAGGTTATCCTGAATGTCAACATGGTGCCTAAACCTGTTTCTGCCAATTTCCCCTAGTTTTGGGCAGCGGTTAAGGAGGTTAAGGAGAGGGGAACCAGGATTTTAATGTAAAGCTACGGGCCCTGCCAAGCAAGCTGCCTGAGGCAGTGGAATTTTCCACAGCCCAGGGACCTCTGTCTTAGATCAGGCAGTGGAGGGGGAGAGGAATTCTGGCAAGATGTCTATTTACAGTCTGAAGGCAGAATTGTCCCTTGGGAAACTCCCTTTTTTTTTGTTCTTAAGGTGTTCAACTGATTGGATGAGGCCCACTCACATTATGGAGCATAATCTGCTTTACTTAAGGTCAACTTAAGTAAAATGCTAAGTACAAGTAAATATGTAAATCATAACAACATCTAGACTAGTGTTTGACCAAATAACTGGCCACCATAGCCTAGCCAAGTTGACACATAAAATTAATCATCGCAGTATTATTTCCTCATTCAAGCATCTGTATTAGTTTCCTAGGGCTGCTAACACAAAGGACCACAAATTGAGTGGCTTAGAAGAACAGAGAATTATTGTCTCAGTTCTGGAGTATAAAAAGTCTGAATTCTAGGTATCTGAATGAAGATTCCAGTTTCTCCACATCCTTGCCAACCTTATTCTAATGGGTGTGAAGTGGTATCTCATTACAGGTTTGTTTTTTTTTAATTGTACTTTAGATGAAGGTTTATAGAACAAATAGTTTCTCATTAAACAGTTAGTACACGTATTGTTTTATGACGATGGTTACTTTTTTTTTTTGAACATTTTATTGTTGCTTAGGTGAAAGCTAACAGAGCAAATTAGTTTTCCATTCAACAGTTTATACACAGCTTATTTTGTGACATTGGTTGCAAACCCCTGAATCTGTCAGCACTCTTCCCTCTTCCTCCCTGGGCTCCCTGTGTCCATTTGCCCAGCTTTCCTGCCCTATCTCACTGTGACTTTGATTTGCATTTCTCTAACGACTTATGAAGAAATCCCGATGGCACAGTGGTTGAGTGCTTAGCTGTTAACCATAAGGTCAGGGTTTGAACCCACCAACCACTCCATGGGAGAAAGATGTGGCAATCTGCTTCCACAAAGATTTGCAGCCTTGGAAACCTTAGGGGGAAGTTCTACTCTGTCCTATAGGGTCGCTATTGGTCAGAATCAACTTGATGGTGGTGGGTTTTTAAATGACTTATGACTTGAGCTTCTTTTCATGTACTTATTGGCCATTTGTTATTTCTTCTTTGGAGAAATATCTATTCAAATCCTTTGCCCATTTTTTAATTGGGTTGTTTGTCTTTTTGTTGTTGAGTTGTAGGAGTTCCAGTGACCTTTTATAGATAAAAAATCAGATGACACCACTCCTTGCTCAAAGCCTTCTAGAAGCTCCTGTCCACTCAGTAAAATTCAAACCCCTCACCCTAGGCTACAAAGCCCTACATGATCTGACTCCTGAGCTCACCCCCACCTGTCCCGCTCCATTCTGTGCTCCAGCCACAATGAACTCCTTTTTGTTGCTCAAACAACCTAAGAACATGTCTCCCTCATCCCTCCCTTTGCGGTCGCTATTCCTCCCATGCCTTCTCCCACATCTTTATGTGCCTGGCCCTTCTTTATCCTTCAGAGTTCAGCTGTAACATCTCCTCCCCAGTGAGGCCTCTTTTGTCATTCATTCTTTCCTGAGTAGACCTCCAGGGCTTACGTCCTGTTCCATTGCTTCCCCTCTTTTCAGAGCACTTATCATAGACTGGAATCATCTTTTGTTTCTGTTCTCATGGTCTGATTCTTCTCACTAGACTGTAAGCTCCATAAAAGCAAGAAGTTATCTGATTTGTGCCCTGCTGAATCCCCATTATGAAGTACAGTACCTTGATGGAGCTCAGGAGATCCTTGTGGAATGGGCAATTTCAGTAAAATGTTTAGTGCCACCACTCATTCAATCCACAAATGCTTATTGAGCACCAGGCACCCTGCCGAGTACAGAGACCTGTAAGACACAATCTTTGCCATGTAGGAGCTTATGAGTCAGTTGTCTTTTTATTTGTCTCCGTCTGATTTTCCCTGCTAGGGAGCTGTGGCTTACTCAGGTTCCTGTTTCCCACAATGCCTAATGCAGGGTTTTGCATACAGTGGTAGCCTAGTGAGTATTACAATGGTCCAATCGACAACCGATCATGGGGATGGTGCAGGACCGGGCAGTGTTCTGTTGTGCGTGAGGTTACCATGAGTTAGGGGCCAACTGTATGACAGCTAACAATAATAAGTGAATATTAATGATTTTAATTGTTTGAGAGAAGAGGGGTTAAAAGGTTGTAACCACCACAGAGGATCAGAAAGGCCTTCCTAAGACTTCTGCTTAAATGTCTAGATTTTACATTTATGCCGCTGCTACCCAAGCCCACACTTATTTGCCTTCCTAGTTGAGAGAAGGAGGAAGGGGAGAAGCCAGAAAATCTGGTTCAAGCTCTGCACGGTCATCCTAGGGTCAGACAGTGGGCCTCTCAGTGGTAAAATGGCTGAGGTGCTTTTTAAAACCAGAGCACATGAACTCAAAGATAGAAGCCTTGATTAAATGAAACATTTCAAGCTTTTAAATACAGGCAACATCTAGAGACCTGTGATTTGGCAGTGTACCTGGTGTTTGAAGGCGAGGGAGGGGAGTCATAGTACTGGAATCATGGGTGCTCAGCAATCTGGGCTTGAGAGCTGGGCCGACCAGGCATCATCACATGTTCTTCACTGCCCATCTGATAGGCTCTACCTGATGCCATTGGCAATAATGAAGCGAGACAGATACGCATGCAGTGAGGTAGAAGGGTATGGGTATGGGCCCTGGGGGCCAGCGGGCGGGAATCGAATTCCTGCTCACTGCTTACCCCTAACTAGCTGGGAACTGTGGGCAAGATACTTCACCTCCCTGAGCCTCAGCCCTCATCTGCAAAATGTCAAAAATAAACGTGCCAACCCCATTAGGGTTGCTGTGAGGATGGAAAGAGTTAGGGTATACATGGTACCTAGCTCCGTGCCTGTAAGAAACATAGAAACACTGTAAAAGCATCCACTCTCCTGATCACACACAGGCCCACACATCAGCTGGTGTCCTCTCAGGCAAGGCATCTCAGGGTGAGTGCATGCAGTGGGGACTCACGTTCCAGGGTTGAGCCCTGGAGTTATAAGTTTTAAAACATACAGTTCGTCCAAGGTTAATCAGTCTCTGAGTAAGTGATTTATACCTACCACTGGCTGTAGTCTAAATTAGAATGGTCAGTGTCTAGATTTTTTCCAAAGAAGCATGGTTTAGTTTGTACCTCTTCCCCCACTAACTCCCCAAAGCAGAGCCTCTGACAAAGATTTGAGAGCAAGTTGCTTATATAGGAGGTGATCCCAGGGAATCCTGTAGGGGATGGGGAAATGAGACTGGGAAGGTGGCCAACCAAGTGTAGTTACTACTATGGAAGCTGGACCTTCAATTTACTGGGGACTCTGGGAGTCAATGGAGAACACCTGCCTCAGAATTATCCCACCTAGGGGCTAGAGAGCTGGGGCCTGCTGGGGGAGGAGCGCCCTTAATCTGGCTTCCAGAGAAATTCTCAGGCAGCTGGAGGTTGGAGCCCTGCACTGCAATAGGGAGGCCCGAGGACGTCAGAACATCTACCAAAGAGAGGGGCATCATTTATGGTTGAGTGAATATGACATATTAGTTAATGCCATAAAAATCTATTATGTATTTAGTTACATGATAATTTATAATTACCTATTCCAGTGGTTTTCACACTGAGTTCCTTGAGGTGCCTCAGGATTGCTAGATGTGTGTTTGTTGAGGGGAGTGTTGAGAGGGTTTTGAGGGTGGGGAAAGGTGGAGTCGGGGTGAAGGGGTGGGATGGATTTGGATTGAGACACACCAAGTAGTCAGAGTTTGGGACAACTTGCTCTGCTTCTGCTATCATAACCCAAAACCCATTGCCATCGCATCCACGATGCTGCTGGGTAGGTTCGAACCACCAGCCTTTAGGGTAGTAGGTGAGTGCAAACCATTTGTGCCACCTAGGGTTTCTACCATCATAGTTCCTTTTTAAAAATCTGTTCTTCATATTGAGCTTCTGTTTCTATTAGAGGAAAGAATTCTGCTTTACAAGAAACAAAAAGCATTTGAAAACCATTGACACATGATAACATTGATCTGCGGAAAAAATAGGGTTGACAAATGGTACTTGTGCATGAAAGACCTTTTCCAGGAGTGTAACCCACTGTAAACACAAGGACTAACTCTATTAATTTGGAAACCTTAGAAAAGAACAATAATTATTTTCTTTAATTTGGGTTAGCACACCAAAGATAATTAAAAACTAAGAATCTGCTCATAATAATTTGCCAGTCTTTCTTTGGCCCTAGGGAATTGTTCTGCCTTTCCTGGAATGGTGCAGAGCTTTGGTGGCACAGGAAGTCAGAGGAGGACTGGCATGACTCGTGACTTAGAGAAGTTCATATGCTCTTGAATGCCCTGGCCCCACAGAGAAGACAATCAATATTTGTGTTTTGGGTGTATCTGTGAACAGTCCTGGGCAAGACAGAGAGGAGCAGGCTGGGCCAAAGCAACTGGGGTTCTGATCCCTGTTCTGTCACTGAAGCACTCTGTGAGTTGGGGTGATTCTTTTAATCACTCTGTGCCTCAGTTTCCTCATCTGTGGTGATACCTGACTTACCTGCTTAATGTAGAAGAAATGAAGCTCAAATAAGATATGACAATGGAAAAAGTACTATCCAATATAATAATGATAATTATTATTCCTGTCGTTGGACCTTTATTCAGAGAATGTCAGGATTTTGTAGACACTTAGACTGGCTCTTCTTAATTTTTGGAACTTCTGACCCCCATTTTTTTTTCCTGTATATTTCACTTTGCTTCCTCATAGAACTGGTTGAGGGTAGAAAATGACCTCTTTGAAGTTAATTAAGCAGACAAGTGCCTCCCTTAAAGAGGTAATTAGAATAAAGCTAGGTCAGGCTCACACCCATGTGAGGGTGCACCAGGCTGTTCTCTGCCCAAGGAGCTCCAAGCTTGGGTGGGGGCTTCCAGTGTACAGTTGTAACCAAGGGAGCCTAAGGACATGAAAAAAATCTGCATTATCCAAAGACCTGAAAAGTTGGTTTCTAACTGGACCACCCGCTAGACCTGGAACAGGAGTCTCTAGAATGAGGAGCGTTTGTACCTACACAAACCAACAATCCACCCTTTTAATATTCTCTTTGTAGAACATTTACAGGTAGACTTGGTCTACCCTGTCCTCATGCCTGCTTTGCTAGACTGTTCTAGTTTATACATTTACCTGTCTCGGCAGACTTCTGGCTTTGGCAAGCTGGAGCTACCTCTGGCCCCTGGACTCCCTGAACTTCCTGCTGCACCCTCCCCATAGAAGGATAGAGGCGGAGGAGGAAGTGGTACTGTGATGATAAGAGCACAGGTCCCCAAAAGTACAGCTGAGCGTACACCTCTTCTAGAGGCCCTGCCCGTGGGCTTAGAAAAGTCCTCTTTAGCAAACAGAAACTGTAAATGGAGCTTGCCTCACTTTCATTTTATTCCGCTCATCAGCAGGAGTTTTTCTGCTCACAGAACCCAGGGGTGGAAATCTAGGCATGAATAAAGAGAAATCACTGGGCAGGGCTAATCAAGTAAGGAAGTCTGTTCAATGCTTTGCAGGGCAAAGTTATACCCTATCCTTCCGCATTGTGGGGTCTGAACCCACTGGCCAGTCTTGCAAGTCACACTGTCATTCATGTACCTGATGGACCTACTTCAATGACCTCCGTTTCTCTCTGAGTCATTGCTGTCCATTGTGGACAACCCACCCCTGCCCCCCACCCCATCATTTATTAAGAGATCAAAGAGGCAGTTTGGTGCAGTGGTTAAGAGCCTGGACTCTGGAGCTTGGGTTTCAATCTCAGCCCCCCCTACTTACCAGCTGTGTGACAAGGGCATGTTATTTCACTTCTCCGTACCTCAGCTTCTGCTGGGAATGATGATAATAGGATTTACGTGATGGGTGTTGTGAGGATTAAATGAGCTAAAAATATGGAAGCACTTAAAACTGTGTCTAATGCATGGAATAGCCTATACAGGCGTTCCCTGGGTTATAAACGTCTGATTGTGTACAATCCACAGTTATGAACCAACCCTGTAAACCCTATTATTTTTAAAATTTTGAGGTGCATACAGTAGTTTGTAATAACAAATGGGTGCTACTTTGTGACACTCATCAAAATATTATTACTGTTATTACTGTATTATGTTAAAGATGTTTTAGTGTATGTGGAAATGTTTCTTTAATGTTTTTATGCTTAGAAAGGTACACTAGATACTAAGACAAACATTTGACTAACTGACATTAGTTACAAACTGTACCTAACTGTTCCAAAATACATACAAAATCAAGACAGACAAAGGAACGGAACTCATTCATAAACTGGGATCTGCCTGTGATTATAATCAATATGCAGTCCCACTCAGATAAGGGCAGTAATTCAGAGGGGCTGACTGAGTTACTCAACTTCCACAGCTGGTAAGTGACAGAGCCAGGGCCCAAACCTTTCTGTAATCTCATGTTCTTTCCATTATTCTCTGTTCTTTCCCCACATTCCTCCATCACTTTCTTCTGTCAACCAGTAATTGGCACACAGGATTCGGTAGAGTTACAGAACTGAATGGGATATGGATCCTGTCCTCTATGTGAGTCCAGAGTTCCCTCTCCTCCTGACCTGGCAGCCTCCCCTTCCTACTTCACCTCTCTTCTCCCAGTCCCCCACTTCCCTCCTCCGTCTTCTCCCCCTCTCTCTCCTCCCCCCAGGCTCCAGGTTCAAGTGAGGGAGGCAGGTAGAGAGGGAGCAGCTGAGCAGTTTGGTGAATAGCAGTCTGGTATCTTGAAGCTCACTCCTCTTTCCTCTAATTCCAGACTTGGAGATCACGGTCCCAATTCGGCACTCACAGCACCTGCCTGGGAAAGTGGAGTATGCAGTGTATGAGAGCGGCCCCAGGAAAAGTGTCTTTCCACCCAGGACGGAGCTAAGACGAGGAGACTGGAAAACAGACAGTACCTCTAGCACAGCAAGTGAGCAGGGCTGACCAGGCAGTGTCTCACAGCTGGGCTCCAGCTGGTGCTTTTGGGCCTATGGAAACATTCTGTTATGAGCCGAAGAGCTCTCAGTTGGAGCCTCATTTGGGTGTGAGAGGTGTAAGAATGAGGAACATTCCATCTACGAGGTCTATCTTTTTTCCATGGGGCCAAAGTTTCTTTATACAGATACCTCCAAAGCCAGATTGCATGAGAGTTATTTCTCTATCCCTTTTATAAATAGCAAAATCTAATAATAGTAGTAGTTAACATTTATTGAGCAGTTGCTATATGCTCTGCCTCTTCTATAGATTAATTTAATTCTCACAATAACTCTATGAGAGATGTGCTATCATCTCTGTTTACCCCTGAGGAAACTGGAGTCTAGTGCCTTGCCCTAGTTTCACATCTAGGTTAGTGGTGGAGCAGGGATTTGAACTCAGGCAGTCTGGATCCAGAACCAACACCCTTTAAGTGCTATTCATGTTGCCTCCCCAACTGTGGTAGAACGGGTACAAAGTCAGAAAACAATGGACTCAATTTTGAGAATCCTAACTTCACAGGCGAGTTGAGGATCTAATTAGGAAATGTCTGCTTTTTGACTGGAAAGCTTGAATAGGAGTCTGATCGTAACAGACAATAGAGGCTGATGTGCAGGCAGGAGCCGTGGGCTTTGTTATGGTATCCAGGGTGATGTTAGCTGACTCCGGACGGGACGCACTGGCTTCACAAGCCAAATGGATTGAGTTTCCCTTTTTTCATACCTTTCATTGTCATCATCAAAACAGCAAGGAAAGCAATAGAAGAGCAGGAGAGAAGCAGAATTTCAAAGTCCTCTGACCTAGGGGTTCTTAATTTTTGTATCACAATCCCCTTTGATATTCTAATATATGCTGTAAATCTACTTCCCAGGAAAATGCGCGTGCATGTGTGCGCACACTATACGACACACACATACACACAGAATTTGCCCATCCATGGACTTAAATCAAGAACCTCTGAACTGGTCTCCTTCTTTATTTTATAGATGGGATATTTGTAACCCAGGAAGGGAAAGAGTTTTGCCCAATGTCACACAGCCATGAAGAAGATGGGGGTCAGGGCCAGCGCCTCCTACCAACCTTAAAGCTCTGAGATGTGGGCAAGCAAGTCATCAGCCTGGAGAAGGGGAGAGGGCCAGGGCAGGTGAACCAGGGAGCCAAGGTTCAGAGCCAAATGTTGGAGGTTAAAGATTTAAGAATGCCAAGGGAAGGGAGAATAGGAGCTGATGTGTGTGAACTTCTGCCTATGATAGTTTTTCACTGCCTCCTAGAGATAATCTTCGAAAAAAGCCTGGTTCATTGTGAGGGAATGGGATGAACAATGATGAATGATGTAGGGAGGCTTAGCCCCAGAAGGATAGGGGCCTATAGGTGGGAGGGGTTATTTCCAGTTGTGGGAATCTGGGAATGTTTCAGTAGCATTTGTCCTGAGCGTTGAAGACTGAAGAGGTCTCAGACGTGTAGATAGGGGTGGGCTGGAGGAGTGAGGAGGAAAGGACATTCTGGCCAAGTGAACAGTTTTGTGTGTAGATAACAACGAATAGAAAGGAACAGGGTCACATGCTCCTTAATATGTAAATTCAAAATCCCCTGGTTTATAGAAATACTTTGACACATTATTTTAAAATCTGCTTAAAAATCTGCTCCCAAGAATATAATACAAAATTAAAATCTTAGTCTGCTCTATTCAAGCTAATCTCAAAATTGATTAGGTCAAATTTGATACTATAGTGAAGTCAAAACTAAGACTTTTTAATAGTCTATATGTGTTTTTGTGGGATGCCGTCATATCAGTTCCTACTCGTAGCAACCCTATATACAACAGAACCAAACACTGCCTGGTCCTGTGTCATTCACGGTCATTGCTATGTTTGAGTCTACTGTTGGAGCCACTGGGTCAGTCCATCTCATTGAGGGTCCTCCTCTTTTTCGCTGACCCACTACTTTGCCAAGCATGATGTCCTTCTTCAGGGACTGGTCCCTTCTGATAACATGTCCAAAGTACATGAGAAGAAGTCTTGCCATCCTTGCTTCTAAAGAGCATTCTCGCTGTATTTCTTCCAAGACAGATTTGTTCATTCTTCTGGCACTCCATGATATATTCAATTTTCTTTGCCAGCACCATAATTCAAAGCATCAATTCTTCTTTGGTCTTCCTTATTCATTATCCAGCGTTTGCATGCATATGAGGTGATTGAAAATACCATGGCTTGCATTAGGCTCACCTTAGTCCTCAAAGTGACATCTTTGCTTTTTAAAACTTTAAAGAGATCTTTTGCAACAGATTTGTCCAATGCAATGTGTCTCTTGATTTCTTGACTGCTGTTTCCAGGGGTATTGATTGTGGATCCAAGTAAAATGAAATCCTTGACAACTTCAATATTTTCTCCATTTTCATGATGTTGTTTAGTGATCCAGTTGCAAGGATTTTTGGTTTCTTTATGTTGAGGTGTAATCCACACTGAAGGCTGTGGTCTTTGATCTTCATCAGTATGTGCTTCAAGTCCTCTTCACTTTCAGCAAGCAAGGTTGTGTCATCTGCTTATCTCAGGTTGTTAATGAGTCTTCCTCTAATCCTGATACCCTGTTCTTCTTCATATAGTCCAGCTTCTCTGATTATTTGCTTGGCATACAGACTGAATAACTATGGTGAAAGGATACAATCCTAATGCACACCTCTCCTGACTTTAAACCACACAGTATCCCTTTACTCTATTTGAAAGACTGCCTCTTGGTCTATGTAGAGGTTCCTTATGAGTACAATTAAGTGTTCTGGAATTTCCATTCTTCGAAATGTTATCTATAATTTGTTATGATCCACACAGTCGAAAACCTTTTCACAGTCAATAAAACAGAGGTAGACATCTTTCTGGTATTCTCTGCTTTTAGCCAATATCCATCTGATATGAACAATGATATCCCTGGTTCCACATCCTCTTCTGAACCTGGCTTGAATTTCTGGCAGTTCCCTATCGATGTATGGCCGTAACTGCTTTTGAATTATCTTCAGCAAGATTTTACTTGTGTGTGATATTAATGACATTGTTTGATAATTTCTGCATTCTGTGGATCACCTTTCTTTGGAATGGGCACAAATATGGATCTCTTCTAGTCAGTTGGCCAGGTAGGTGTCTTCCAAATTTCTTGGCATAGATGAGTGAGTACTTCCAGAGTTACATCTGTTTGTTGAAACATCTCAACCGGTATTCTGTCAATTCCTGGAGCTTTGTTTCTCACCAATGCCTTCAGCGCAGCTTGGACTTCTTCCTTTAACACCATTGTTTCTTGATCATGTGCTACCTCCTGAAATGGTTGAACATAGACCAATTTTTTTTTGGTACAGTGACTCTGTGTATTCCTTCCATCTTCTTTTGATGGTTCCTGTGTCATTCAATTTTTTGCCCATAGAATCCTTCAATATTGCAACTCAAGGCTTGAATTTTTTTCTTCAGTTCTTCCATCTTGAGAAATGCTGACTGTGTTCTTCCCTTTTGGTTTTCTAACTCCATGTCTTTGCACATTTCATTATAATCTTTACTTTGTCTTCTCAAGCCACGCTTTGAAATCTTTTGTTCAGCTCTTTTACTTCATCATCTCTTCCATTTGCTGTAGCTACTGTATGTTCAAGAGTGAGTTTCAGCGTCTCTTCTGACATCCATTTTGGTCTTTTCTTTCTTTCCTGTCTTTTTAATGGTCTTTTGCTTTCTTCATATATGATGTCCTCAGTGTCATCCTACAACTCATCTTACCATTATTAGTAACACTAATACTCTGTCATTAGTGCTCAATGTGTCAAAACTGTTCTTAAGATGGTCTCTAAATTCAGGTGGGATATACTGAGGGTTGTAGTTTGGCTGTCATGGACTTGTTTTAATTTTCTTCAGCTTCAACTTGAACTTACATATGAGCAATTGATGATCTGTTCCACAGTCAGCCCCTGGCATTGTTCTGACTATGATATTGAGCTTCTCTGTCATCTCTTTCAACAAATGTAGTCAATTTGATTCCTGTGTATTCCATCCAGTGAGGCCCATGAGTACAGCTGCCATTTATGTTGTCTGTATATACCTATAAATTAATATAATTAGGAGCTACTTTTTATGTGGAAAATCAACAAACCTGAAGTATGGCAATGCTCTTTGTGGCAAATTGCTGTAATTGGTATATTAAAGTCAAAATCTCCTTGTTTTAGTTGATCAGCTTTTATTCTTCCTTCATTGCAGATTACCATGTGTTGGAGCTTGTTCTAATGCTGTACTGTCCAATATGGTAGCCGCTAGCCACATGTGACTATTTAAATTTAATTAAACTTAAATAAAATTTAAAAGTCAACTCCTCAGTGTCACTAGCCACCTTCCATTCTAGTTACAATATTGGATAGTGAACAATAGAACATGTCCAGAAAATTCTACTTAACAGCACTGTTCTAATGATATAGGTAAAAATTCCTCAACTCAAAACCCTTGAGCACCAAAACTCACACAGTCATAGTTCCTACCATGAGCAAAAATTATACCTTTGAATTTACACTTCATATTTTGTTTTGTGTCAAACTGCCTGACCCCTTATTAGAAGGTGTGTATGTGTATGGGATACATGCATGTGTTTGTTATAATTCCTAAACAAGTGAAGAGCTACAGCAACAAAACTGGTTTGCAGATTTTAGAAATACCACTAAACAACCGAGGACTAGGGAACCTCTGCTTCCTTGTCTGTCAGATCGGAGCACTAGCATCAAATAGGATTTCTGTTGGGATTCAGTGCAATAATGTTTTCAAAGCACTTAACGTGTGGCAAGCCCTCAGTAAATAGTCACTATATTGCAAAAACGGTAATCAAAAAAATTGAACCATTTCGTTTTACGCTGAAAGAAAAACTGAACTCTATTTTTAAAAAACCCATTTTCATAGCTTATGTATTGCTCCTATCAGTAAAAATAAATAAGTGTAAACGTTTTGCATTTTATTTTAGCCAGAGAGAATGTACAGTCTGTGTGGCTGATTTTGTTTCTACCCATTAGGCAGCGCCAGTAACCGATCCAGCACACGCAGCCTCCTCAGTGTGAGCAGCGGGATGGAGGGGGACAATGAGGTGAGAACTGGGGATCCCCACTCCCATCTATCTCATCTTAGCCAGGGCCCATTTCAGTGCAAGAAACAGAAATCCACTCAGACTAGTTAAGCCAAAGAGGGCATCTGTGGGAAGGAGCTGGGTGAGTCGAGGGGGAACCCCAGGGCCTGAATCAGGAGCTGTGAGGCCACTGCTCCCGGTGTATCCCTGGGGCCACACACTCCTCCATCCCTGCTTCCCTGTGCCTGTCTGCCTCTTCCCTCACTGCATACTGGCTTTTTCTGCTTCAAGTGCACAAGGCTTTGGAGCAGAGAGTCAGATGCTGCCTCAGGCCTAGGCCCCAGTCCATGTTGGCTCACTTTGGGTCAGGGTGTCTCCCTGATCCTGTGAGCAGTGGCGAGGTAAGGGGTGGGCACTGCCAACCCAGCAGACCCCCTGAGAGGGGTTCTAGAGTTGGGTGACCCCTCTAGTGCACAGCTTGTATTACCCTGTGACTGAGGACCACTCACAGTTCTGTTTTCCCAAAAAGGAACATTTGTTTAAAAATAAAATTTCCTCAGCTCTATCCGGGTTATGAAGTCCTTGGGTGGTGTAAATGGTTAACGTGCTCAGCTGCTAACTGAAAGGTTGGAGGTTCAAGTCCTCCCGCAGATGCCTTGGAAGAAAGGCCTGACGATCTACTTCTGAAAAAGCAGCCATTGAAGACCCTATGGAGCACAGTTCTACTCTGTCACACATGGGTTCGCCATGAGTGTGAATCAACTCAGTGGCAACTGTTTTTTGTTTTTGTTTTTTTTTATCCTGGTTACACAGAGCAATGCTTCTCAAACTTTAATATGCCTAAGAATTGCCTGGAGATCTTGTTAAAATGCAGGTTCTCATTCAGCAGGTCTGGGGAGGAGCCTGAGATTCTGCATTTCTAACAAACTCCCAGGGGATACTGATGGTGCTGGACCACAGACCATACTCTGAGTAGCAATTACCTAGTATTTAGGCCATCGGTGATGATTTGGGCCAGATTATCTTCCTCAGTGATGCCAGGAAGAAATGGAAAGCTGTCTGGGTGTTGCTGGGTTGATAACTAGTCAGCTTATGAATAACTTTCAGCCAAAGCCTGAGGAGGGCTGAGGGACTTTGAAGATATCAGTGTGCAACTATGCTGGTTGTTTAACGTAACTTTCACCTTTCTTTCTCATCTGGTTTGCTGTAGGATAACGAAGTCCCCGAGGTTACAAGAAGTCGTAGTCCAGGCCCCCATCAAGTAGACGGAACACCCACTGTGCCCCTTGAAAGGCCCCCCAGGGTGCCTCCCCGAGCTGCTTCACAGAGGTAATACTGAAACTAGTATGAAATTTGTCCTCACTTTCTGAGTCCCAGGGGAGAGTAGGATTTGAGGACATCTATGATGACCAAGGAAGTCTGATGGCAAAGTGGTTAAGAGCTTGGCTGCTAAACAAGATTAGCAGTTCCAAGCCACCAGCCCCTCCTTGGAAAGCCTATGGGGCAGTTCTACTCCGTCCTGTAGGGTCTCTGTGAGTCAGAATCGACTTGACGGCAACGAGTTTGGTTGCAGTTTGGTTTAAGATGACCGAGGAATGAAAACAGAGTTAACAGAAATGCTTACCTTTGATACCATATTTTAATGTGGGCTCTTCGTTAATCTAAGCGATGCTTTATTCATTGCAAATATTTTAAATAGCAAACGTATTATTTCAAAAGTAAAATATATTGATAAACATCAACTTATTGAATAATTTTTATTTGTTTGGCTAGAATTCAGCTCCCTAATAACTAATGACCTTCGCTGTGTTCTGGGGACTGTTGCCAACACATGCTTGTTGAGGAATAGGAGATAAGAAGGTATTCAAAATGAAAATAAAAGTGAGAGGCAGTGTGGTATGGTGGTGGAGAGTATGGCTCTAGAGCCACACTACATGAGTTCAAGTCTCTGGCAGCCACTTATGGACTTGGATGAATTATGTAACTTTCATGAGCCTCAATGTCCTTGTCTATAAAATGGGGATAATAACAGATCTTCCTCACAGGGTTGTAAGGATTGAGTTCCTGGCCTATAGTAAAAGCTCAACGATATGAGTGATTTTTTACATAGGAGAAGAGTGAACATATGGAGATTTGATGATCAGTATTAGACAACAGACTTTGACTGATTAATTGGGCTCTGAGGTCCATCTTTGTTATATATAGTACTTGAGTGTGCTGGCACCTTTTTAAGTCTTAGGGAGTCACAAGGAAGAAGTGTGTCTGCCAATGGAGAAAGGAACACCTGGGAATAAAAGCCTAGGCTTGTCTTACCAGTGTCATTCTTTGATGTTTAAAATATTATGTGAGGGGGAAAAGGATAAGAAAGAGGAAGCTCTTTTCCAGTGAGGGCTTTTTGCATTTTGAAATTTTTAACTCAAATGAATCTCATCCGTGAAATTTGTTAACAAAGTACAAGGAGGCCTTTCTTCCTGTTTTCTGGAAAGAATAGCTGACTGCGTGCTAAAGATGTTTCCATTTCTCTTTCTGCCATTTCTCACTTTTCTGCATGCTCCCAGCAATATTTGTTTACTAACACTGGCCACACAAACACCCGACAGTTCCAAGCTGTATCATATTCACCAGATATATTTCACTGGTGCTAACTGGAGGTTTTAGATTAGAATACTAGCCTGAGAAGGAACCTTAGCCATGATCTACTCCGGTTCCCTGAATTTACATAATGTTTTGTTGCTTAAAAATTATTATATAGTTGATGATGGGGGAGGGAAGCTCACAGAGAAGGATTATGGTAATAAATGCAAATAGTATTTGATTACCATGTGCCAGGTACTATGTTAAACACTCTAAATGCATTATCTCATTTAATTCTCTCCATAATCCCAAGAGGTAGATATTTAATATCATCCTATTTTGCAGCTGCAGAAACTGGGGCTTGAGACTGGGTTGAGATTTGCTCTGTGTGGCAAGTCCAGGTACACCTAACTCCAGGACCCAGTGTATCAGTCATTCTGTTACACCTGTCCAAGAAAGTCTAGGTGTCATGGAAGGAGATCTAGGGTCCAAGACCTTTTTACTCCTGAAGGTTGAGGACTTTGGAGCCAGTTGTCTAACTGTACCAAGATACAAGAGTTGGCAAGCTTGAAACTATAGCTACAAAGATTCAGCAGGATTTTGTTAATGAAAGAGAAAAATAGGACAACCAGGGAAACAGATTCCAGATATTAAAGAATAGAAACCAGGATTCATTTCCACGTGTAACAGGAGACGGCAGATGAATTGTTTTGGGAGTCTGGAAGCATGTTGTGATAAAGGGGGCAGAGAAAAGTAGGAAAACATTTTTTACTAAAGAAACGGTGTTCACAAAGAAATCTGTGATTGATAGAACTTGGGGTTTGGGTATATTTTGGGTGTGAAAAAAGATTTCCAAATATGCAAATGTTTTATAATATGTAGGCAGTCTTCATAATAAAATGAGATTTTTTTTAATTGTGCATTAAGTGAAAGTTTGCAGTTCAAGTTAGTCTCTCATACAAAAATTTATACACACATTGTTATGTGACCCTAGTTGCTCTCCCTATAATGGGACAGCACACTCCTCCTTTCCACCCTGGATTTCCTGTGTCCATTCTACCAGCTCCTGACCCTCTCTGCCTTCTCATCTCGTCTCTGGACAGGAACTGGCCATTTAGTCTCATGTATCTACTTGAACTAAGAAGCACACTCTTCATAAGTATCATTTTATGTCTTATAGTCTCGTCTAATCTATCTAAAGAGTTGGCTTCGGAATGGTTTAGTTTGGGGCTAACAGAGAGTCTGGGGGCCATGTCTTCTGGGGTCCCTCCAGTCTCAGTTAGACCATTAAGTCTGGCCTTTTTAATAGAATTTGAGTTCTGCACCCCACTTCTCTCCTGATCCATCAGGCACTCTCTGTTGTGTTCCCTGTCATTGGTGGTAACCAGGCACCATCTAATACTTCTGGTCTCAGGCTGATGGAGCCTCTGGTTTATGTGGTCCTTTCTGTCTCTTTGGCTAATGTTTTCCTTGTGTCTTTAGTGTTCTTCATTCTCCTTTGCATCAGGTGGGTTGGGACCAATTGATGCATCTTAGATGGCCACTCGCTAGCTTTTAAGACCCCAGAAGGCACTCACCAAAGTGGGATGCAGAACATTTTCTCAATAAACGTTGTTATGCCAATTGACCTAGATGTCCCCTGAAACCATGGTCCCTAGACCCTCGTCCCTGCTACTCTGTCCCTCGAAGTGTTTGGTTGTATTCAGGAAAATTCTTAGCTTTGGTTTAGTCCAGTTGTGCTGACTTCCCCTATAGTGTGTGCTGTCCTTCCCTTCACCTAAGATAATTCTTGTCTACTAGCTAGTTAGTGAATACCCCTCTCCCTCCCTCCCCACTCTTGTAACCATCAAAGAATGTTTTCTTCTGTGTTTAAACCTTTTCTTGAGTTCTTATGATAGTGGTCTCATACAATATTTGTCTTTTTGCAACTAACTAATTTCACTCAGCATAATGCCTTCCAGATTCATCCATGTTATGAGATATTTTGCGGATTCATCATTGTTCTTTATCATTGCGCAGTATTCCATTGTGTGAATATATCAGAATTTGTTTATCCACTGGTCCATTTATAGGCACCTAGGTTATTTCAGTCTTTTTGCTATTGTGAACAGTGCTGCAATGAACATGGGTGTGCATATATCTGTTCGTGTGACAGCTTTTATTTCTCCAGGATATGTTCCAAGGACTGGGATTGCTGGATCATATGGTACTTCTATTTCTAGCTTTTTAAGGAAGCGCCAAATCGATTTCCAAAGTGGTTATACCATTTTACATTCCTGCCAACAGTGTATAAGTGTTCCAGTCTCTCCACAACCTCTCCAACATTTATTATTTTGTGTTTTTTGGATTAATGCTAGCCTTGTTGAGGTGCGATGGTATCTCATTGTAGTTTGGATTTGCAATAAAATGAGATCTTTGAGAAGAGAATAAAATAAGCCTCTCTCCTGAATGACTTAGATGCTTGACCCACTTACTTCAGACAGGAGGGGAGGCTGACCTTGGTGGCTTCTTCTCATCTTCCAGCTCTTTGGAATTGGCAACTCTTCCTTACCCTTCTCTTGAACGCCCACCCCTCCCCCTCAAGGAGCACTGATGGATGTAACCTTCATCTCACTAGTCATTCCAGCCAGCCCTGGTCCATTTCTCTGCTCACTCTGCATGCTGTCTCCAGAGCTTTAATTGCTACCAGTAGTCAAAGACCCCCATGCATTTGTCCGTTTGTCGTACTGTGGGGGCTTGCATGTTGCTGTGATGCTGGGAACTATGCCACCAGTATTCAAATACCAGCAGGGTCACCCATGACAGACAGGTTTCAGCTGAGCTTTCAGACTAAGACAGACTAGGAAGAAGGATCCAGTGGTATACTTCTGAAAAGAATTAGCCAGTGAAAACCTTATGAATAGCAGTGGAACACTGTCTGATATAGTGACGGAAGATTAGCCCCTCAGGTTAGAAGGCACTCAAAATACGACTAGGGAAGAGCTGCCTCCTCAAAGTAGAGTAGACCTTAATGACATGGATGGAGTCAAGCTTTTGGGACCTTCATTTGCTGATGTGGCATGACTCAAAATGAGAAGAAACAGCTGCAAACATCCACTAATAATTGGAACGTGGAATGTACGAAGTGTGAATCTAGGAAAATTGAAAATCGTCAAAAATGAAATGGAACACATAAACATTGATATCCTAGGCATTAGTAAGCTGAAATGGACTGATACTGGCCATTCTGAATTGGACAATCATATGGTCTACTGTGCCAGGAATGACAAAATAAAGAGGAATGGCATGGCATTCATCATCCAAAAGAACATGTCAAGATCTATCCTGAAGTACAGTGCTGCCAGTGATAGGATAATATCCATATGCCTACAAGGAAGACCAGTTAATATGACTATTATTCAAATTTACATACCAACCACTAAGGCCAAAGATGAAGAAATTGAAGATTTTTTCCAACTTCTGCAGTTTGAAATTGATCAAACATGCAATCAGGATGCATTGATAATTACTGGTGATTGGGACGCAAAAGTTAGAGACAAAGAAGAAGGATTTGTAGTTGGAAAATATGGCCTTGGTGATAGAAACTATGCCAGAGATCGCATGATAGAATTTTGCAAGACCAACGACTTCTTCATTGCAAATACCTTTTTTCACCAACATCAACAGCAACTATACACATGGACCTCACCAGACAGAATACACAAGAATCAAATCAACTACATCTGTAGAAAGAGACAACAGAAAAGCTCAATATC